CATGCTCGATGGCAAGCCACTGCTGTCTGTCCATTCACACACAGTGGCTCATCCCTACTTTCCTGTTTTATTGCCCACCTGAACTAGGAGATGTAGTTGCTCAGGGGCTGTTCACATGGCAAAAAATTGAGTGGCAGGTCACTGTGAATAGGGATTTGCTACAATAGCATGCAACGCACATGGTTACAGCATTTCAGCATTTTCAGGGTTTAAACAGGTTCCCCTTTAACTGCTTGCCAAACACCATTCAAACATCTGAAAGGGCCCTTTTAGCCCTCCTTCCTCCCTCAGAGCCCCCTAGATCCCTTTTTAGTTCTCCTCATCTTCATCCCACTGACATGGGTGCCAATCATTCCTGCTTAGACTGACACCAAAGATAAAGTGACATTATTTCCTTAAAAAAAGTTTTGGCCTTGGATCTAATTTCATAAGAATGTAACTTTAAAGAGACAGGAATTTTTTTTTTTTTTTTTTTTTTTTTTTTTTTTCTTCTAGAACAGGTGGCTAAAAATCTATAGAAATTGTGTACCAGTGCCCAGACTATGGATGTTAAACTACGATATTTACATTTATTCCATCAAGCTTTAAAGTAGAACTAAATCCACATTAGGATGCAAGACGAAATCCCTCCAAAATGGTGTGTGTGTGTGTTTTTTACCAGGGTCACCAGAACTGGTGCCCCCATTGGAAGATTTCCCTTCTATTCCTGTTCTGGTGTCAACCCAAAATGTGGGAATTTCTTATACTCTTACTTTTGGTGATAATTGTAAACATGACAAATAGACAAGGTAAATCTCCCTAACAGGAATATAGACCGCAATAAAAACCAGAGAGGTGTTCTAATCTCCAATCTGTCCAAAACTGTGTAAAAATTTATTTCTCCACTATGTCCCTTAATTACTCAGGTGAATGGGGACTTGTTTTAAATTTAAAGTGCCTTTACTGCTTGTTTGTTTGGAAGATTAGAAGGAACCTTTTTAGTTTTGGATATAGTAGCACCAGAACCCTTGTCATGTGTTGCTGTCCATGCTTGGGGAATCACTATTGGCTAGACGGAGATTAGAAATCGAAAATTGCAGTTTTTACCAGGAAAGGAGGTGAGGACCTCTATCAAAGAGGACACTTGTTTCATTCGCATCTACCTAAAAGAGGGGATTTATCATTTCTTTATGTCTCTGGGAGAGTAAGAAGGGACAATCTCTGCAACATAGCAATAAAAAAACCTGACAAGTAATTTGACCTTTTTATGCACTGAATCCAAAACTAAAAGGATTCATTAACAGAGAATTCTGTTCAGAAATTTCCCTTAGTTTTGAAACGCAAGGGATGGGTTTAGAACATCTGTCAGATTTTTTTATTGTTGTCTCTGTTGGGCACTGGCAGATGGAAGTCTCTTCAAAATGGACACAAGTAACAATAACCCAAAATATATTTACTTTCTCACTCTAACCAAAAATTGTTTGGCTGGGAGTTCCAGATTAATTTATGGTTGGGTAACATTGATGAGTGAATATTTTCCAGTAATGTTTCCACTCTCCTTTTACTTCAGGTGACAGTGCTGGAGGCTAGTAACCGTATAGGGGGTCGTGTACTGACCTATAGAGATCCACAGGGCTGGTATGGAGAACTGGGACCGATGCGTATTCCTCCATCTCATAGGTATCTATAAGGCTTTTATATTGATGAAAAAATATTTCATTTTGCATATAACATTCACCTTCATACTTTCTGATAACTAAAAACTAAGGCTGCTAATTCCTAGAGGGTTCAGATGTTAACACTCACACTGTATAATGCTCCACTCTATCAATAAGTACAGAAAGTTCAACTCTCTCCCAGAAAGCTTTTTTTCATCTTAGTATGTGAAAGTCCTAAAATGTACAATTGTTCATTATTACAGGCTTATACGGGAATTCATTCGTCAGTTTGGATTGCAGATGAACCCTTTTATCATATCTAATGCCAACAATGTATACATGTTCAATAATATAAGACATCTACAAAAAGATGTTGCTAAGAAGCCAAACTTGTTTGGGTTTACGTTGACCCCTACGGAAGAAGGACTATCCATTGATGATGTAGTTCCTGAACTGGCACACCAGGTATCACTGCATCTTAGAATATACTATATCCTCTGTACTGAATAGCAGGAAACTGCTGGCTGTATCTAGGGGTGTTGGGGCTTCTGGGGTGAAAACATGATGACAGGAGTACAGTGTAAATTCAGAAGAAGAGAGCAGATGAATCGGATAAGAGTAGACCGCGTTGCCAGCTAGAGACAAATGGCTTTCATTGGAGTAAAAGTACCAGAAATACCTGCTCTTCACCTGAGTCAATGAAGGTATAGATGGACTTGTGCAGCAGGACAACTCCCAAGAGATATCTCTATCCTCTCTCCCTATCCAGAGCTATAGTACCACTACAGTTCCTACATGCATATAAAATCAACTAAACACCAATTAAGAATAACAAATGTGCAACAGTCGTGCTCAAAAGTACATCTGTGTACAGTGTATATCTATGTGTAAAGTATAGAACACTTCTTCATACAGTCAATTTGAAAAAGTGGTGAATGGTCCTTTTAACCCCCTTCACACCTAAGAGTAAAACAAATCTTAATGCCGAAGCACAATTTTGCAACGTTGACATGTTAGTAAAACCATACATATCATCACTACTTTGTGTTTTTTTTTTTTTTTTTTTTTTTTTTATGTATGGGGGGGGGGGGTCCCCTCTATGACAGGAGTTGCAGAGATGCAATGTATCTCTCTCCTTCATAGAGGAAAAAACCGGGACCTGGGGCTCTCAGTGACACTCCCGTCTTTGTGCTGTGCAGCGGGCTCCCAGCAGAAAGACAGATGTGCAAATATGAGGCTACACGGAAAAAAAGCCCAGTTCTGTGAGGCTGCATATTTGTGCAGTCCGCGTCAAGCGGTTAAAGAGTGTTACCCCAGCATTTCATATTTATGATATGTATGTGGTACAATGTGCTTTGGGTAAAAATGTTTTTTTTTTTTTTTTTTTTTTTTTTTGTGAAATACCTGGCGCTCCTGCCAGTCCCCCTACTTTCCTATTTCAAACTGAACATGCTATGCATGAGAGCACATTCCTCCCAGTGTGGTCAGTTTTCTGGTTGTGCTGGGGGCACAGCTTACCTATCCTCAAATGGGCAGATTTGTGCTAACATAACACAGCCATTCACTGGGAAGATCAGTGTATTGCTTTCTCCACCCCTAGCTCTTTAAGCCCCTTATGCATCTGAGAACCGAGATTATGTTATCAATCACTTGTATAACAATTTTTTTTTTTTTTTTTTTTTTTTGTTTTTTTCATTCCTATTTTAAACAGGGTATTTTTACAAGGTGAAGGTTCACATATACTAAAGTTATTTTCCACCATTATAGAATCTACCAAACTGATCCTCTTGACACTCAATACATATACATTGAGTGGATCACTTAGGTGGACACTTTTGAGGGAAAAACAAGTTTTAAAGGACTTTTCTGCACTTTATCTAGTGGATTGTATAGGGAAGTGTTTTTATTTTATATATATATATATAGATATATATCTATATATATATATATATATATATATATAAAATGCACTGGTTTGTTACACATTTTACTCTTTTGCGTATAATTTTTACAACTTTTTTTTTTTTTTTTTTTTTTTTTTTTATTTCATTGCGGTTTGATCTTTATATGCATGTAAGGATTGTGGTGGTACTATAGTAATAGGTATTTCTGTATATAACTCCAAGTATATGGACTAGACCAGTGGTTCTTAACCTGGGTTCGATCGAACCCCAGGGGTTCGGTGAGTCAGTCTCGCAGGTTCAGTGGAGGTGAAGACCCACACCCGACTCATATGATTCGTGCAGTAAATATTCATTATGTTTTTGTGTGAAAATCATGTTTTAATGGTTTTGTTCTTTGTTCTTAATGGTTTTGTTCATTTTGTGCACCTATGTATAAATATATACCTATGTTTTAAATTTTAAAAATCATATTTTTATTTTTCCAATTAAGAAGGGTTCGGTGAATGCGCATATGAAACTGGTGGGGTTCATTACCTCCAACAAGGTTAAGAACCACTGGACTAGACAAATGAAGACACAGACAGTTAAAGATTTACTAAAACTGGAGCACTCAATCTGGTGTGCATGGTAGCCACTTGGCTTCTGACTTCAGCTTGTTCAGTTAAGCTTTGACTATAAAACCTGGAAGCTGATTGTTTTCTATGCAGAGCTGCACCAGATTTTGCACGCATCCATTTTAGTAAATGATCCCCATAGTGCCAGTACAAAGCAGGCAGACCAGAGCAGATGGAGTCATGGCTAGGAGCATCAGCATACAAATATAAGCCAACACAGACAGGCAAACAGGATCAGAAGCCTTTAAAAATGCTAGAACCTGGCCCTTAAGGAAATCTAATTTTCATTGTAACTTACATTTTCTTTTTTTAGTTTGTAAGACGAGTCGTTGGAGAAAACTGCTCTGGAATCTTGGACTTGTTTGACAAAGTTTCTCTTCAGGTACATTTTTTAGGCAAATACTATATATAGCACTGAGGGCACAAAAATCCATTGACTGTACAAAGGGATCTCTCTGGATGTATATTTTACTTTACAAATTTGCATGCCTGAAATCAGCTGGGGTGAAAATTGGGCAGTTCTCTGCTACACTTACATAAGGGCTGCTTTTAGCTGATTGTGATGTGCTTTTTATATCTGTTTTACTAAACAGGGAAAGTTCCCATCTGTAGAACATGTGCGGGACACCCACGCTTGTAGACCTTTTTAAATGTTTCAATCATGCTAATTAAAGTAAAGTGTTAAATAGCTGCAGCTCGCCCCATGTATCCCTGTTCATAGACTCTAACTTTTAGTAAGTTCCCATCTTTGCAAAACTGATTCTGGAGTTTTTTTTTTTTTTTTTTTTTCCCTCTGATAGTCTTTCCTGGTGGATGAAGGACGTTTGACTGCTGGTGCTGTTAGGATGCTTGGAACCTTCATGAATACTAATAGTCAGCCCTATGTCTCATTTATTGAAGCAATTCTGGAGGATTATATTTTTAAAACCCCAAGGTACAGTAAATAAATAACATGCATGCTGAATCCAAACCCCAGTGAAGTCAATGAGAGCTGAATTTGTGACTTCAAAACAGCCCATGTTCTAGGCTAATGGGCAAAGAGTTGTAAAAATAGCACAGATGGGCGTGGACACTGTCTGGGAATACAAATGCAAAAAAATTGAACCTTAAATTTGTCGAAGCACTAATTTACATTGTAAATTATTATTTTATTTTTATTTTTATTTTTTTTTTTGTGGAACTTGAGGCCAGAATTAAAGATGGGACAACAGGCAGGAATTTAATGCAGAAGATACTGTATGCTTTCTCTTCTGCATTAAAGTTACCTAGCTGCCTGGCCACCCTTGTACAGTGAGCTGCGCCATGTACAGCTCACTTTAAAAATTTGGTAATGCCAAATCTGACTGAACTCCCACACATGTGCAGGAGTGAGGTTATCCAGCCAATGAGCTGAAGATGCCAGCAACCAGGCAGGGAGCTTAGGGGTGTCACATCGCTGGAGCTTAAGTGACTGACTATAGTTCCGCTTAAAAGCACTGACATTCACAAAAGAAAAATGTGTTTGAAAAAATTAAGCCAAGAGGGAAAGCCATTTGCTGGTAATTTTAAAGCAAAGATGGCACATAGTCCCCAATCTTCTACCAAAATACATAGTACAATTTTATATTTTATTTGTAAATGTCACGGAATGAAAGAATTGTGTAGAATCCCTATCCAAAAAAGCATACCCAACTCTTTAAGCCTAGTATTGATTTTTAAGGGGAATTTCATCACAAAAAACAGGCACGTTGGCAAAGCACCCCCTTGATGTCCTCAAGTTGATGAGGACAAGGTATTTTTACACACACTTGCCCATAGGTTGGCAGGTGGGGGGCTTATTGGAATTTAGAGGCCACCTTTAATAATAAACTGACACCTAAATACCCCTTCCCATGTGAAAGAGTAAGGAGTACTATGTACCCCTTCTCATTCTCAAAGAAGTAAATGTGAGTCCCACTCCCGCAACCACCCTCAGCTGCATTCTTTCTTCAGAGCCATTCTGAATGGTACCCTGAAACATCTCATTCTGCAGCGTGATCGTGGGAGTGGGAACTGCATGGTCAAAAAGACTATGTGGTTTCAGTGCAGATGCGTTTTGCATGAAACATAGGCACAGTAGCCCATTCAATTGAATGGGCAGCCATGCGCGTGCAAATGTGGGGTGCGTGGCCCACACTAGTGTGTGAACAGGTCTTAAAAAAAAAAAAAAAAAAAAGCACAAACCGAATGACTGACTAGTGTTTTTTTTTTTTTTTTTTTTTTTATTATTATTATTAGAAGACTTGTCAATGTCCCACAATGCACATCCACCTTAAATCATTGTTCAGTGACGTTGATCCGTGTCAATTTTGATACCTGCAAACTCAACCGAAACAAAAAAAACAATCCACCTGCTAGGACACATTTAGACTGTTTGCTTGCCTCCCAGCAAATGACAAAGTGAGCAGATGACCTCTGTTTTATACAAGGGGTTGGGGGTCTCCTGGATGATGTCATTGACCATATATGGGCCCAACCATATTGGTTGTCGCTGGGTCATAGGGAAGAACACTGGGAAGTCATTGACTGACTGTCACATGCACATGCACATGCACATGCACATGCACATGCACACATACATATAAAAATCTAAACCGCAACAAAGTTTAATCTTCATCTGGCAACTTGCCTAATTTTTTTTTTTTTTTTTGACAGGGTAGGGAAAATGTAAAACACTGTCAATTTGTTAGTGCTGTTTGTGTTAAATACTAGGAGTGCTCAGGGTTTTGAGCACAGAAACCTCAGCTGCCCATTGACATATATGTGCAACTTGTGTGCATTAAAGGCCACCCTCTTTTGGTACCAAACATATGTTATGTGGGTGACAAATAAGAGGTTAGATGGCTAAATCTACTTTGAAGACTTCTAGAAATAAATACAGATAACTATGACCTCATTCTGAAAAATTTCTATTTCTCTAGGTTGGATGAGATCACTGGAGGTTTCGATCAATTGCCCTTGGCTTTAGCCAAATATTTGGGAAATGTGATCAGATTGAAATCCACCGTAGTTAAAGTCATGAGGAATGAAAAATCAGTAATTGTCTACTACCGTAAAGATAGATCCACCCCTCCCACCAGCATAATGGCAGACTATGTCATCATAACATCTACTGCAAAGGCAACCAAACGTATTAAGTTCAGTCCTCTTCTGTCCACCGAGAAGAATTTTGCATTAGCTAATGTCCACTATGCAAGTGCCACAAAAATCTTACTGAGCTGCAATGAGAAGTTCTGGGAGAAGGATGGTATAGTTGGTGGGAGAAGTATCACCGATCGCCCATCGCGTTATATCTATTACCCAAGTCACAACTTCACCCAAGGAAGAGGGGTCCTCCTTGCATCATACACTTTATCAGATGAGTCCTCCTTCTTCCTATCCCTCAGTGATGAAGAGTGCTTTGACATTATTATTGAAGACTTGGCTGCCATTCACTTGAGATCAGAGGAGGAGCTCCGACACCTTTGTCCTAAGGCTGTGGTGAAGAAGTGGAGCCTGGATCCATATTCCATGGGTGCTTTTGCCCATTTCATCCCATATCAGTTTAGGGATTTGTTTGAGTACCTGTCTCAACCTGAAGGCAGAATATATTTTGCTGGGGAACACACATCTGCTCCCCATGGCTGGATTGACACTGCTATCAAAAGTGGCCTGAAGGCTGCAAGAGCTGTTCAAAATGATGCCAACACATTTCTCCACAAATAATATAATTGCATACTTGTATGAATACCAATAATTATTGGTTCTGGAAATATGCATTCTATGTCAAGCAGTATACTCACAGAAAAAAAAAAGTTATTGGTGATAGTTTAATAGTATCACCATTCCATATGACTAGACATCATTCATATTCATTTAGGGCCAATGCACTACAGTGTGGTGTTTTTTGTTTATCTTCAAGAGAACTAGTGATGGCTAGGCTTATGTTAGAATCGTAGCCATTAGAAGTCTGTCTATTTAAAATATGGCTGAATAAATGTAAAAAGCACTTGCCCAGTAATTACAAATTCTCAAAGTATTTTGCCTAATGTATTTGTCTATGAGCATCAGCTCCATCTAGTGGCCATAATGCAGTATTTTCCTGACTTGACTCTACCAGGGAAAAACTTGGCTAAAAGGAGCTGATGATCATAGGAAATAAAAGTATTGGGAAAGATTATGGTGAGGCGAATTCCTGTGACATTTGCAAATAGACCCCCCCATGGTCTTAAATTGTTACACCTGTACAGGTGTACCCATCCATTTATATCAGCCACCTTATTAAGGCTAGGTTCAGACATATGTGGTGCTAATTTGTCCAGTTTTCTGCTGTTTCAGTGAGCAGTTGTGGTGTGAATCCCCTGCGGTTCTGCCTGAATATGCATTTTCGGTACAACTGCATTTTTGGACCTCTCTTTCATAGGTGCACACTGTGGTTTTTCATAATCTCTACTGAAACGGCATTATGTTGTAGAGTGCTGTGTAAACTGTTGGCGCCATAGAAATCCTGTAAAATAATAATTACATATGAACACATACTTTTTTTCACATGCGGTTTTCCATATACTTTATGGACCTCAAACTCGGATCACAACTTGCACACAACACTTTCAAAATGTATTTCAGCTGGAATGTATAGTGAATGACCTCTATAGAAAAACATTTTATTTCTCATGTCATGGAAATCATTGCACTTCACAATGCAACCGAAACTGCATCTGTGTGAACCAAGGCTGGATGTCACTTGATTGAGGACAAGTCCCCTGAAGTCTGGCTATGGTGGCTTTCTCAAATGCCACCTCACACCCTACATACTATGACCTCTAATACAAGCTGAAGAGTCGGCTACATGCAAAAGTACTTTTTTTTGGGTATTTATGTAGTGCCATCAATTTTACACATGTATTATACATTCATATTGGTCCCTGTCCTCAAGAAGCTTACAATCTAAGGTCTCTAATCTGCATTCATACATATACCTACTAGGGCTAATTAACCACTTTCCTGCCTTCCTATAGTACATATACTGCTACAGGATGGCAGGGGTGTGCAATATCACTTGTATATATGTGATTTTGCATTTCTGGGTAGGGGATGTATGTGAGCCACATGTGCGCTGTACCCCCTGCCGCTATTCACAAACTTTGTTGTGAACAGCCGTGTCCCGGCCAGTGATTGCTCGCCAGCACCCCGTGATTGAGGACCATTACCGACGGAGGGAGAGAACTGTATGTAAACAATACAGTTCTCTCCTGTCAGCTCCTGCACACTGATTTTGTATGGCTCTGGAAAGCTATGTTCTTACAGTGCAGCACACAGCACGTAATGTGAAACAGCACACAGCCCTTTGATCGCCCCACATTAACCCCTTCCTGCCCTGTGCCGTTAGTACAGTGTCAGTGCTTTTTGTTAGCACTGATCACTGTAGTGATGTCAGTGACACCAAGTCTGTTCCCCCCAGTGTCAGAATGCCTGCCGCAGTCCCGCTCTAAGTTGCTGATCGCCACTAGTAAAAATAAGAACAAACATCCCAGTATCTATAACGCCATTTGTAAACGCTATAACTTCACATAAACCAATTCATTTACATGTATTGGGATTTTTTTTTTCTTTTAGCAAAGACATGTAGCAGAATCCATTTTGGACTAAATTTATGATGAAATTTGACTTTTTTTTTTTTAATTTTTACTGGACACGTTTAATAGCAAAACATCAAAAATAGTTTTTTTTTTTCTCAAAATTGTCGGTTTTTTATATATATATATATATATATATATATTTATAGTCTTGCAAAAAGTAAAAAACGCACAGGTGCTCAAAGACCACTGAAAGAAAGCTCTAGTCGTGGGAATAAAAGGACATTTAATTTGGGTGCAGCGTTGCATGACAACGCAATTGTCAGTTAAAGTAACGCAGTGCTGTAGCGCCAAAAATGGACTGGTAAATCCTCTGGAGGGCAAGTGGTAATTTACCAGCAAGTCTTTGGAGTGTGGGAGGAAGCCCATGCAGTCACAGGGAGAACATGCAAACTCCATACAGGTAGTGCTGTGGTTGGAATTTGAACTGACGACACTAGTACTGCCAGGTGGAAGTGCTTGCTGGGGGCAAATATAATGCTTCATATCTAAGCCTGCACAATTATATTAATTTAAGGCAAAACTTTCTGATTGTTTTGCATAAATTTCACCAGCACTAGTTCTTTTAATAGCAGGATGAAGGAAAGCTGTAAACTAAGTTTATAAACTAAATGTTTCAACTTTATCTTTTTTTTTTTTTTTATAGTCTATATTTTTTTCAAACTACCTCTGTATATATGTATATTAAATAATATCTGGTGGAGAATATTCCAATGTTCGCAGTAGACCATATGTACTTCAATAAAGTGCTATCAATGCGTCTCTGTGTAAAAACTGTGTTTTCTGTGAGAGAGATTCCTCCAGCTACTAGGAGCAATTACGGTATACAGCTTTATAGTAAGTAGCTTCACCATTTTTCAGAAGTTGTGTTGTGTCTGCATTCATAATGACTTGGCTTTATCTTGTGTTGACTCAGCGTAGCATCCACCCAGGTGACCGCCTAAAAACAGAGCAATCTCGTTTTGTAGCCCTCAGGCCTCCTTCCCACCCCTATCCAGAATTTAAATTAAATATTGGTTCTTATGTATCTGTGCAATTGACATTTAGCTACCTTCTTGTAGATGATTAACAAAGTAAAAAAAATTAACAGGATTGCCCAGGGGATTGACCATTTGGAAACTCGGGCACTGCCCAAGGGCACGGGGTCAGTAGGGGGCCCCATGAGATGTCCCTGGTACCTTTTTCATAGGCTTTTTTGAGTTTGGGCAAGGTCACAGGGGCCCAGTGATCCCTTATTGCCTGGGGGGCCCCATGAGTTGTCAGTCTGCCCCTGGGATTGCGCCTTGTTAAGGACAGACAGCAATCAGAGCCATGCCGTAGCTTTATATCACATGTCCACTTGATTCCTTTTGCAAGCTGTTTAGCTGGCCAGGATGATGATTACCAGCAGGTATTCCTTACAATAACATACACCATGTCCTGCGCAAGAATAGCAACAGCCTAAAGGCAGTACAAGGCTGACCAGCGGTGCATTTAGCTTTTGTGCTGCCCTAGGCAACACAAAATCGTCTGCCCCCATGGACATCGACCAACACCCCCCCCCTTCCCCCTCCAGCAGAGAGAGTCTGACATTGACCAACAACACCCCTGCCCCTCACTCCGGAGAGCCTTCCACTACCCCCCCAAGGATAGAAAGACACTCATCTTCAAAGCTCCGAACATCCCTGGGAACAGGAGTCAGACTCTACATACACCATCAAGCAGTCTGCAGTCTCTCTTGGATCCCACCTGGTTCCCATGGCACGTTTGTCCCTTCTTTCATCCCTTCTTCTGGGGGGAGGTGCTGCCCTCCCCCCAAAAAAAAAAATGCCACCATAGGCAAATGCCTTGTTTGCCTTTTGGTAAATACTTCCCTGGGGATGACCCAGAATGACAAATTGATCTCCCTTCAAGACATTTACTCTGTGTGTTAACCAGGACAGGGGTTTTCAATGCCACTATCTTGGCATGGTTACTTATTAAAGTATAACAATTGGCAAAACTTTGTTTTTAGTGAAAAGTTAAAGAAAATCCCAAATTTTAAGTTTTCACCAGAGCAGGAATACAGGAGAAATCGTCCCATAGGAACACTAGTTTTGGTGACACTTTGGAGACATTTGCTCTCACTTCCTGTTTTGGCTATTGGACAGGACGTGAAGGGAAATCTCCCTAATGGAACACAGATGAAAAAAAAAACCAGTTAAAAAGGTAACTGATAAAAACCCTTAAAGTGTTACTAAACCCACAGCAGTAAAATCAGTCTGTATATGCAGTAAAGCATGCTTGTTATACTCACTGTGGAACCTAAGGGGTAAAAATGCTGTTTGATGCTGTCTTCTCTGATCCTTCCCTTCTTCCACTGTCCCCAATTCATCTGCTGATAGCACAGAGTCCTAGGAGACACTCTACACATGCTCAATTTGGTGTGTATTGCTAGAGTTTTTTTTTTGGGTGGGTGCATGTGATCAGCACAGGGTCAATCAGCACTGTCCAGACAGAGGATCAGGGGTCATGCAGCCTCATAGGATAGTCAGAGAAGAATGCAAACTCCTACTACTAGATTGACCAGTGCTCTGCTGGACACTGATAGACATCACAAGACTGCTCTAACTGCTGATGATAAAAGGTATTATCAGTTTATATTTACTAAAATAATTGCATTTCCATGTTCTGTATACTGTGGAAGACCAGATATAGTGAATGCAGGGTCCTGGGTTTAGTATCACTTTAAGCAGCCCATACATGACTTGATTTTCTTTTCTTCCACCAAGGGGAAAATCTCTCGAAAATCAGGAATGCCTCGTGCAGAGCTGTTTGGGGGGATTTACTAAAACTAGAGCGCTCAGAATTTGGCGCAGCTGTGCATGGTAGCAAATCAACTTCGAACTTCAGCTTGTTAAACTTTGACAAGAAAAGCTGGAAGCTGATTGGTTTCTTTGCGAAACTGCACCATATTTTGCACTCTAGTTTTTAGTAAATCTCCCCCATTGTGCTCTGCTGGCAGTGTGTCTCCCCGACTGGCAGAACATAATGATTATTGCTGATGGCTATAGCCACCAGCAGTGACTGAATGTAAAAAAAATCAGGATGGTTGTACACAAGTCAATCAAT